ACTTGTTTCATCACTTTATATGCTTTGAACTACAGGCAGTTCTCAACTTATGACCACAATTGAGCCCAACATTTCTGTTGCTAAATGAAATAGTTGTTTTGTGATGTTTTGAAAAGCAAAGTCAATGGGGAAGCCAGATTCACTTAACAACCACATGACTAACTTAACAACCGCAGTGGTTCACTTAACAAATGTGGGAAGAAAAGTAATAAAATGGGTCAAAATTCACTTAACAACCACATGACTAACTTAACAACCGCAGTGGTTCACTTAACAAATGTGGGAAGAAAAGTAATAAAATGGGTCAAAATTCACTTAACAACTATTTCATTTAGCAACAGAAATGTTGGGCTCAATTGTGGTCATAAGTTGAGAACTGCCTGTAGTTCAAAGCATATAAAGTGATGAAACAAGTTTCTGTCCCTGACCCAATTTATGGGTCTCCACTTTCTGCACATTGTATTGGGTCACTTACATATAGACAGTATTTATGAAGTGAGAACATGTTGACTTCAAGTTATCACTGTTTTTGGGGGTGGTTTTTGTTATCTATCCTCACCTCAGCCTAAACCCACATCAACAAAAGATCTGGTCCTGCAACAGAACTTTTCTAGCTCACGTCCACATAGCAATTTACTAGATTAACATAAAACAATCCCATCTCCAAAATTAGATAGGAGAGTTAAACTTCATCAAAATGCCCTTCTATCTCTAAATAGGATTTTGGGGCAGATTTCAGCAGAGACTTAGATAATAAAAGTCACTGAAGAAAACAGATTAACAAATTAAAAACCTAATAGGTCATAAAGTGTCATGAAAAATTGTGGCAACAATTGCATACAGTCGATGTTGAATGCATTGGGAAGGAGGCATTATTAAAATAGCTGGTTAAGTGATAATTAATGAGTTTTTTTTACTTGTTCAAGACTGTAATCTTTAGCTACTTTTGTAATTCAACCCCTAATGGTACCGTTCTATCCTCCAGTGGAAATAAATGTCAATTGTTAAATGACTTTTACTATCTCTCTAATTTTTTATTACTAAGCGTGAATTTCTTTTGCCTAATTACACAGAAGAGTCTCAACTCATCAGAAAAATAGCATAATTTATTTGTCAACAGTAATAGATCAAATGCTTATTTATCCTCTAATTCTATAGTCCTAATGGAAAATATATTCTTGTCCTACATGTATAATTTCCAAATCACTTACTCAGGAAGATTCTGTAGTATTCCTTCTCTCAACTAAACATTACCTGCACTATATGGACTCTCACAGCAGTTTGACTAGAAGAAGCTTATTCATGTAAAATATAAATGGGATTTCTAGTGATAAAAGTATCCAAATGCACCTTGCAAAGATTTAAATTTACTTTTGGTTCTGAATGTGCAAACTTTTAAACACTTTCTCACCTCAAGACTAAATTATGGCACTATCAAAATGTTATTGTTCTTAAGTTACAAGCAGAGAACTAATATATGTCACAGTCAGTTTTCCTCCGTGTGATTTTCTTCCATAAAGTACAAAATGTATGTCAGTAAAAGAATCAAGAACTCTTCCTAACAAAACACCAGAAAGCAAGCTTTTCTATTTGTTGAAGAGATTTTTTTCCCCTTTACAAAAACATAAAAAGGCAGATTGAAATTTATCCAATTTACAATCAATGAAAGAACAGACCATAGAAATATATATGAAGAAAGACCATGGTCTAACATTTACAGTTTTAAACTGAAAATCAGAAATAGTACCTTACATGCATTACAAATCTCAAAAAATTAATTTCTTTAAGTACAGTGATGCTCTTGTTTTGGCCCCAAACGTAATATTAGAAACCAGCAGATATGGATAACACAGCCCCTAACCATTTTTTTATTTACTTCAGTATCATTAATGCCAAATCTCAGATGGTTGGAAAGATCAATGTACAGGGCTCAGGTATACTGACTTACTCATCAAAAGACCATTTTTGCTTTTATATTAAACAGGTTTTGACAAATAAATGCAATAAATATAATTAGATTTCATGCAGAATAACCTATAGCCATACTCACAGTTTACTGTGTTTTCCCTTGAAGCAATATTTATCAGCACAAAGCAAAAATATATTTAATTGCCTTTTGACAATACAATTTATTGCTCCAGTGAAGATACTGACTGAATTTGAATTATTGTAAGCAATGAGATTCTCCTATCCCAACCATATATACAACTGACAGAGAAGCAAAAGGAAGAGGGAAAGAAGTAATAGTTCTCATCTCTTGCAGGAACACAAAACTTTAAAATCTTTTTGGAAAATAATAATACAAAATGTAGTCTAGTCAACAATGCAAGACTAGAACTGGCTAGTTGATGGAACGTTTTGAAGTGCTGCTATTCATAACATGGTACCTGAAGGATTTGCTTAACTACCTGAAGGATTTGTCAAATTACCCACAGTTCTGTACAAATGTTATCACTTTCTAGTACAACGCTCTGTTGTTGATGATCAGACAGAAAGATTTCTCATCATGACATCTTACATCTGGAGTCCCATCTCCACAGAAACTTACCTGATAAATTATGTTAAAATTGTAGGAGAAAATAACACCAGCCATTTCAGCATGTTTAATAGGTGATATAACTATCTAAGTGTTCTTAATTTTTATTCTTTTTATTTAATTGTTTTAATTGTAAGCTAGACAAGAAGCTTATACTTGCAGGTGCTTAGGTCTCCTACATAAATCTTTCACATTTCTTCAAATTGTTGAACTGGAAACGATTTCTGCTGGAATAATCTGTTCAATTCTATAATGCCTGGTTCATATCAGTAAATGATATACATCTTTAGAATGAAAACTGCTTTTTCAAATGGTTGTGTCAGGAACAGCAGTTTCAAAAGACAGAAAGGAAAAGGGAAAGGCAACACTAAGATTTTTTTTCTTTATTTTTGTGACCAATGCCCTGTATTACATCAACTGAAAATAATCTATTCTATTAGATTTGTTACGCCAATATTTAACTGGAGAGCCTAAAATTAGCTTGCTAATTTGATAAAGAGTCAGGTGAACTTGAACATTTATTTTCACTTACATGCTCTAAAATAGAGCAAGTCTGTAAGACCTTTTTGATCCCTAATATAAAATATTTTGATACGTTACCATAAAATTGCTAAGGTTATTTATTGATAAATGCAGTTCCTCATTCAACATGTGTATTATCTCAGTTCATATGCCCTACATCAACAATACAGCATCATCTGTATCATTTCTGGATGATATCACTGCGAGAATATGATTTTATTATATAGATCAGAGATTCTGAATTGAAAATGACAATTTAGACTACTGAATTAAACCTTTCATTTAGTGCAGGAATTAAAATGAATATAAAATAAGTTTTTAATATATGGCTATGCTACCACTTGAACACAACCACAAAAAGATAGCCCATTATCTCTCTAAATAACTGACTCTGTCGAATTACTCTTACTCTCAGGAGATTTTTCTTAACATGCAATTAGGATCTGCTTTGCTATGTACTGTACTATGGGATGACAGACAACAGGCGCTGGTTGTCTTCTATGTGTGACATCCCTTCAAATTCTTAATGAGTGCTATTATATTCCGCCTTACTATTCTTTTCTTAAAGCTGAAAATGTTCAGTTCCCTTCATTGTTTCTTACAAAATGTAGTTTCTGATTCCCTATTCACACATGCTTGCTGCCCTTCTCTAGATGCATCCAATTTGTCTGAATACTGTATTTTCTAAAGTATGATGTATCATTTTTGGAGTGTAACATGACAAATGCAGAATGGAACATTCTTACGATTTAGGAATTTATGATTCCTGATCCTATGACTCATGATTTAGGAACTATATCATGACTGACCATGTGATATTGCTGGTTTAGACTCTATAATCGTAAGATATTCCCACCCACCCCAAAAAAATATTAATGTACACTAGGTACTACTAATATGTGTGCATTTTTTAAAGAAAACACTGCAGAATATTAATGTTTTCCAAATTTCATTTTCAGCCTGTTTCACTAATCTATCAAGAATTTGGGAAGAAGGAAATCTAGAAAACTCTCTTTTCTAAGAAAAGCTATGTTTAGTATTACTTTTGTTTTGATTTTCAGTGAATTAGATAATTTAATTCAAAAGTGAGTGCTTATTTTTATTCTATATTTTTAAATCCTATATAGATAATAAAACTGGCCAATGTTCATGGCCAATTCTTTTTTTTTTAATATCACACATAGATAACAAATTGGCCAATGAAAATACAAGGGACCGCGTAGAATAGGATATGTGTTAACATTCATTTCAACAGATTCTGGATGATGCATTAAATTAATGCAATGTTAATAAAAGTACCTTCCAAAATGGGAAACTTATTACCTGAATATCAGAAGCAGGTACTCAGATTGAAAAGACTTGAAATGATATAAATAAGTAATTGCTTAAGAAAGAAAAGAAAAAGCGGTGAGAACAGTAATCAAATAATGTTATTCTTAAGAACCGATTAATTCAATAAGCTGATTCATGTGTTCGTGTGTATGTGTGTGTACATAAACCACAAATGACATCTAGTTTATAAAGCACCACTGAATATATAGTACAAACAACTAAGAAAGAGGAACAAACAAAATCATACCTAGAAGTGAAGTCTCCTTTGCAAATGCAGCAGCAATAGCTGGATCCAAAGCTGGCTGACCATCACCAGATGGAAGGTCAGGACGAGTGTAATCTCTACTTTTATCATTATTATACTTTACATTCAAGTTGACCAATTTGGAAAAATCAATCCGTAAGGTACAGCAAGCATTATAAATATTCTGACCATCTAATGCCTGGAAAACCAGAAATATGGAATAAGATGATACAGCAAAATTTATAAAAGATTATATCAACTAGATCTTGCTTTATTTGTCTCTAAACTGGCAAGTGACATTTGGTCTTGTGATATAAAGTTCCAACTGATACAACTGCTACTTAATCAGACTGTTTTCAGCTATTCTTTTTCCAATCTGCATTATATGGTGTCTCATTGAATTTTTCCACATCCTCCTTTAATACCTTTTCCTCTCAATTTAGTAGAAGGCCTTATCTCAATAATTATTTTACTCTCATTTTCCAGAGACATCAAACAATACATGGTAAATCCCAATGTCATTTTTAAATGTTTGGCAGAGGTTGGAATGAAGGATTTCATATGGAGGCAACTTGGTTTCTAGGATAAGTAGGCAGAAGCAAAGTTAAAGTTCCTACTAAAGAAATATGTGCTTCAGTATTTCTAGCAATCTAACCATTTGGAGCTGGCTTAAGAATAAGGCTAAAGAAAGTTAACTATCAGAAAATAAATTATACATTATTTATAGAGATCTACTGATGTAACTACCTACCCATAACATTTTATAGATTTATTGTTAGAAGATTAGGAAATCAGGATAGAATAGTCAAATAGTTGGAGCAGTTTCAGAAACCAAATAAAAAGAGAGAATATCACAAGGGGTGGAATTTGCTCATGACAAATTCTCTTCTTTTCTGTTATTACCAAATTTATAAACACCAAAAAAGACTGACTGGGCATGTAATTTTATTGTTATAGATAGATGGACAGATTCTTATCATTTGCCCCAAAAGGAGAAAATAAGACAATACAAAAGTTACAATCCATACTATCATATAGTTGTCACTATACTGTAGTTTAAGAAAATTAAAAGTATGAAACATTTGTACACTGGGTATTTTTTTTTTATGAAACAGCAACTGGCAATAGATCCCCATTTCTTAACAAATAAGGGATGTAAAAGAAACCATAACTCCTAAAATGGCAGTTGTAGACATGAAATGTAGCAGTCCATTAAGATTACCTAAATCTAAGATCAAAACATATTTTAATTACTTTATTCTCATCTTTATTTTTTCTAACAAAACAATCTTAAAACACTTAAAAAGTAAAATACAAACTAAAAAGAAAAATATATTTATCAAGTCATTGGTTTACTAGTGAATTCACTACTATATTACGATATTATTATAAGATATCACAATCTCTGCCATAGTAACACATATTGCTGCGTTATTTGATTGGTAGAAAATATTGCCCTTTAAGATCAAAACATATATACATGTCTAATCCCAAAGTATTATAGTGAGAATACACTCTGCGATCTTAAAAAGCAACTGAAACAGGGGAAAATATAGTAATAATAGTTGAAATCCCTATGACTTCAGCTACCCTCCATTTGTTAGATAGATAAATATTCTGGTTTCGACTGATGCATAGTATTTCTAGATATAAGAAATTAAGGTGTCTTGGAATGACTGGGAAGTTCCTACAGACAAACCAAAGCAATGAAGAATTTATTTTGAAATGTTTAGCATCTGGTGCTAAAGTAATTTGTTGAACAATTACTTTGGCATTATTAAATTCAACACATTTTAATATTTAAGCAGCTTCTTAGAATTGAAAAGTATAGATAAAGAGAATAATCACTTCAGGATGCGTAAGATAGTTTAAAGTTTTGAAAGGTCAGATGGTGTAGATAAATTAAAATGCCATGGGAACAGCATAAAGTGGTATTCCACACTATCCAAAATATTGAGAAAATATGTTATTTTAATATATCAGAACCAAAAAATAAATTTAGCCATTTATGGATATAAATAAATGGATAATATCACAAGAGCAGCTGAATTTGGAGCTTTATGGTCTTCATTAAGAAAGCTGTAGATCTGTCCTTGATGATGATGTCCTACAATTCCAAATCACATCACCACCACTCCAAGCAAAAACCAGGTTTAGTGTGTGATACCTCTGCACCTTACTGCAATGAGTCAAGCCTGCTATAAATTAAGTTGCTGGTTGCCACGGCTGCCACGGTGGGTATGAATTCAAAAAGTGCCTCTGAATCTGTACCCAGGGAGGATATGTTGAAATCCCTCTGGCCATAAGCCTGGAGACCGCAGATGGCAACCTGGAGAACGCATCAAGCAGCACAGGCAGAAAAACAGTAGGGACCTGGTCAACAACAGCAATCCCAACTGATCCATAAGGCCTAGCGTCCCAACTAGAGTCTCCCATCTGCCTATTTCTGGGATAGCAGCACTGATGACCCTCAGAATTTTGCAAAAGACAATAGTAAAAAGCTATCTGAAGCCTTNCAAAAAATATCAGTTTATGCACTAAGAAAGAAGCCAGGAAAAATACTTTAGTTGCACTTGTCATTATTGTTCACAGATTGAAGTGAATCATGCTATTTTTTTCTAGATTTCAGCAGCTGTTTGTGTATAGGCAGGCTGTGCAAAATAACAGTGTTTAAGCTCTTGGTTCCATTGTTGCCTATTGGATTTTTTTTGATGTTTTAATCACTCTCATTGCAAACTTTTGTGCCTGTTAAATGAAAAGCAAAAGTCAGCCTGTATATCAAATCATCCCATCTAATTTTGTGGTTCAAAAATGAAAGAATGGGGCATTTTTTTCAAGTTCCTATTATTTTCTATTTTTATAGAAAATAGTTTGCGCTATCTGAAACAAAGTATTTAGAGTTTTGTTCAGATGTAGGCAACTCAATAGATTTGTCCAGAGCTCAAAACAAGTTTTGTCTTTTTCCTACTTTATACACACCATTATTTGCTGATTATTTCAAGTTTCACCCAGTTCAAAGTAGTTTTGATACAACTTGCCAAGTCAATCTAGAATTGAACCATAGAGTGCTATGTTGCTCCCATTTTAAAACATTCATGGAAGGAGACAGATAGTCCCCTATAAAAAAACTATATCACTCTGTGAACAGGATACCACAAGACATAGGAAATGTGTCCAGTTCCTTGTACTTTCCAGTTAATTGGTGCTATAGCTTATAGCTAAAAACTAACAGTGGACCATTCTTGATTGCAATATAAGAACAACATGTTTAAGATTTCTCCTCTCTCCATTTTTAAAAAGCAAATGAATAAAAATCTTTGCTGTCACATCGTATTTGATTTTGCACTTAACATCCTAAAATACTTTTCCATCTCTCAGTGGATTAAAAATGTTTCCTGTAATTGGTATATTATGGTAAAATGCATACATGGTAAGTGTAAAACTTAAGTGTCTTAGGATGGAAAAAAAACTTCGTACCTTGAAAAAAATAAGACAAAAAAGAGAAAATACCTGATTTTTTCCTTTCAGCATGAGAATGTTGGTTACCTTACCAAAAGGTAAGCCCAAAGCAATAACTTCTGTCTCTGTCACTTCTCCTGGTAATTTCCTGATATGAAGAACACGAGAGGGAGCTCCATCCATTTTATCTTCACCCTTGAATTTCTTGTTGTCGTTACCATTGGCTGTAAGACATTTTTTAATTAATTTCATTTCTAAAATTTATTATAAATTCAGAGAAAGATACACTTAGTATACATACACATTTTCAAATTAGTATATGAAAAGTGAATTTGAAATATTTCAATTAAATGTTTAAAAAAATAAAAACTACAAATAATAAATTACCAAGAAGACCAAAACAAATCAGGAAACTCTAGCATTACAGCATACAGAAAAAGGGAAGACATACTAGCATAGTTTCTATAACTAATTATCTAAAGCAAAAATAAGTTTATAATGAGTGACAATTATTTTTTATATTTGGATTATCAAACAATTCTCATGTGTTGGGTCACATTGATGTGTCATGAACATAGTCTATGCCTCTCAAAATTATCTACCATCTCATTAGTGATGCTGCCTGTAGGATTTCTTTATAATTTACAGTATTAATCTCTCAGTATAATCTGCATTCACTGCTCCACAGAATATGAAGTTATGCTCCATCCCGGTTTGCAGTGTGATTTAGATCATCTCAGCCCAATCTCCACACAACATAATTGCATTTTTTTAAAAAAATAAAGGCTCCTACTGAGTTTTTCCATGAGTCACAAACATTTATTGGCCTACTCTACTAATTAAATAGAGAAAAGTACTTTGGCTATAAATGTGAAATTTGTGTTCTATTTTAATTTGAAAAATCTGGAACAATTCAGCCATGAAACACTTACAAAATATAAAAATACATAAACTTAAAGTTGTCAGGAAACACAATTTAAATCCATGAAAATCTTATTTCTTTCTCAACAGAGATAACATTACAGCAGTTGCTTTAGTCAGACACTTAAAATTGTGCCGTATGTTTAAGAACTTTGCTCAAGATTCAAAAACATACTTTCAAGAGATTTGATTTATGTACTAAGAAAAAGAACATGATCATAATTAGGATGTAATGAAATGCCCATGGAATTGTAGATGCAAACTGATGGGGGGATAGGTTGGACTTAAAGGGTTTGCAAATGTACTATGCATGCTTCCACTAAAGGTGTAGGATAAAAAGGTATCAGATGCCAAATGGGATGCCAGAATGCTGAAAGGATACTGGTAATGACCATATTTAGCAATGTTGGGCATATGAAAATTGGGGTGGGTGGGTGTTCAGTAGACCACTAAAATAACAGACCCACAGTGCAGATCCCTTCTTCTAATCCATTGCTCCAGGCTTGTACCTAAATGACCAAACTGCTGATGATAGTTTTAGTGTTCAATCCAGAGAGCAATTTTTTAAAAATTTGATTTCAGGATCTCAAGATTTGACCAACCAGGTTTCAGGTCTTGTACGAGTAGCAATGATGGATAGGAAGGACAGGATATACGAATTTGAAAATAATCAACAATGCTACTTTGGAAATAACTGGATGTGTATATATGAGAAAATGGATTGTAAGGATAAACATGAGCTAAAGCTGGTGTACAAAATGATCTGTAGAAGATCATGGACCACATTTTGGATTGTGAGTTCAACCTCGTGATATAGTCCAGACAAGAACCATACCCAGGTGAATAAATTCTACTCTTTTATAAGGTTACATTATCAGAATCCTGCCAAGTCTGAAAATAAATTTCTCCCCCATTGCAATTACAGTCTCTAGTTTCTGCAGGGCCTAAAGGGTCCTTTCTGAGATTATTTATTATTTCTATAAATTCTTTCTGCAAGGTAAGCTGTCTCTTATCTCACTGTTCTCCTGGTTATGGCTCTTTTCCTAATTTCTCAAGATCATTCCCACATTCTATTACATGACATCTCCTAGACTTCTGGTTCTGATGAATTTTAATCTCCATGCTTAAGAATTGGCTTTGGGTTGGTTTGCAATTTTATGGTCTATCAACCCCATTATGTATATCAGACTGTGAAAATATGTGCAAAGGAAGGTTACTTTATTATACTAGTTATAGAAACAGAACCTTCCAAGCCTGATTATGCTTTCCACACTTACACCAATACTCCTGGAAAATTAAAGAAGTGTCAATCTGAGTTATTTCTTCCTCTCCTCATATTGTTTTGGGGTGAGTCACATTTCTTCCCCATCACTCTGGGAATGGTATTCATGAAGATCCTCTTCTTTAATTTCTACACAGATTTACTTGTAACGATGGACCTGTGTTGGTAAACTAAAATATAACTCCTGAAGACAAGCAAGGACTGGATTTAGTTTAGATTCACAGTAAATGAGATAGGATCTACATATGAAAGATTTTGACATGTATCTGTCCTTTACTACTGTCAGATCATTTTTGGTCAGGATGCATTCTAGGCAGCAAATAAATGCTGATGGTTTTCTGAAGACATTCAGGTAATTTCCTGACAATTTGGTGGATAGTTCAACCTGTACTTGATCAGTCTGTTATAGACAGACAACTGGATAAAATTATTCCTGTGTGGCTTCCTCCCTGTCACAGATCTTGAGCAACTCCATGCTTTGCAGGGGTGCTATAGGAGATAAAGAGAATGAAAAGCTGCCAAAACTGGTATAAGATTTAAAAACATATTTTATTTATTTATTTATTNATGAGGACCCAGATTGTTGGGGGCAATATGCTGACTCTGTAAACCGCTTAGAGAGGGCTGAAAGCCCTATGAAGCGGTATATAAGTCTAACTGCTAACTGCTAACAATTTGGGTCCTCATTTTACCCACCTCGGAAAGATGGAAGGCTGAGTCAACCTTGAGCCTGGTGAAATTTGAACTGACAAATTTCACTCTAACCACAGCATCACCATAAACTCCAAATTGATGGAAAATCCAAATATAAATGTCTACCCTGGAAGATTCATGTATATTTTCTAAGATCTCTCATTAAATTTCTTATAGGCTGCGATCTTCTCAAGGCACTAGGTTGTGATATAAGATTTTGTTTGCCAAATGTGCTAGGACAAAATATGTTTAAATAACTTGTGTCACTCTGGGTAGTTAATTTTTGGTTCTGTGTCTAATGAATTGGGATCATTCATTAGATCATGGTTCAGTTATCTAGGGATCAGCACATTATATAAACACAGCTGATGGATCTGAATGTTTTCAATTCAAAGACATTCTGGCTCCTCTGGCATTCCTGAGAGCCGCAGACAATTAAATGATGGTGTTTGACAGCTAGAGTGCAGGTGGCATGACATGATGATGAGCATGTCTAAATAACAAAAAATATTACTTGTTTTCATTGTTGCATATGCCCTAATGCTGGCTAGTGGATAATTTGTGTGATAAAGAGCCTTTTGTGCATGGACCCCAGGTATCCTGCTGTGCAAACCAGCTGAAGGATTGCTGTTACTAATTTGCAATGCATTTCTCATATAAGTAATTTGCATTTACAATTATATGGATATGACAGTTTTAACCATCAGAGATAGATGCAGACATGACACCATCTGGTCCTACATTTTGGCTTATCCAACCTGAGGATATTAACTTCGGAGGATTGAGGCATATAATTGTTTTCTGGATTCTTATCTTTTAAAAATTTTGGAATCTTAAAACTTTGGCTTATTATATGAAATTTAGGTAATGTAAACACCTCATTGAAGAAAGCTATAGTTATCACCATATTGACAAAACAAAAGTAATAAATCTTGTTAGAAAAATGTTACATCTAATTTAATTTTGGTTTAACTATAGGGACATAAATATCTGGTTACAATGTCTTGCCAAGCACAAGATAAAATGTAATTATTTTTAAAAAAAATCATACAAAGCCCATTCCTACTTATGGCTGTAGGCACTTTACAAATAACCATGTGGAATAAAAATTTGTAAACCTCAACTGAAAGACCTGGGTAAATAAAAGATTTTAATTCTTCTATTAAATTGTAACACGGAAGAGTTAACTTTAGCTTCAGCAGCAAATGACTGCAAAGTTTAGGCTCCTCCATGCAAAAGACAAAAATATTTGTTGATGATAGTATGTCTACGAAAACAAATAGTACATAATAGTACATCAATAGTACTATGATAATACTGTTGAATCAATATATTGAATCTCAGGTGAGAAGAGCTGATATAAAAGTGTATAGTGTAAAATATGTATTTCCTATACCAGTAGCAAATCCTCAAATTTAGAACAGGTTGCAGGATTTAGGCATGATATTTTACCCTATATAAATAGGATAATTATATATTTTTCAATTGAAGCACCTTTTAAATACATTTCAGCATTAATTTAACACATTTCTATTTGGGTAAAAATGTAATCCAATCAGTCTTTAATGAACAGAATCAGGACAATCAAGAACCAAGCATTTTTTCTTTAATTAAAATTATTTTTCAATTTTTAAACAGCTTCTGAACACTTTTAAAAATGAACTGCTGATGGTTATATCAATGTAGCGTTCTTGAGGATGCTACAAAAATTTGTCAGTACCTTCTTCAAAGACATTTTTTAAACTTTAACATCTATCATATAGCCTTGATATTCTCAGGCAATGCCCCATCAAAGTACTAATTGGGTTGGTTCTGTTTAGTTTCTGACATAACCCAAGGTTAGCTGGATGCTGCCATTCACTGAGGCACCCTTACTACTGAACCAGTTTATTGTGATTGACATAGCTGCTATGGGGAAAAAAATCCAATTGAAAACAACTTTGCTTCTATATTTCAAATGAGAAAAGTCTCTAGGCTAGGATTAACAGAGAAGACTGGAACAGAAAAACTCTTAATGCTTGTTAAACCATTGTTCAGAATGATAAAGTAATAGAAAAAACAAAGATGAAGTTATTACCATTTGATATAGCATGGGTCAGTGCTGCTTTTACATTCCTTCTTGAGCAAATAAATATCATATACTTAAAATGTCCATGAAGTTACTACCTGCATAACTGTAGTTTTACTGTTGAAGCATGAATAGTGTCTTGATCTAAAATAATACATTTTAAATATCTTCAAAATCAAGTAACTATGTACTTAGTTATTCCCGCAGTGAATATGAATGTCTTTTCAATAAGTTCATTTATTAGAAGAGCAGATCATAGT